AAAATTACCACAGTGCTCTGTAATTATGTATATGTATCTACCCATATTTTGGGAAAATATCCATAATAACAAGGGGAAATGTAATTTGTACAGCACATCTTGATAGCCTTGCTAAAGCAAGATGATTTCAAACATTGCAGTTCCTTTTCTAATGGTCCCTAGGACATATTTTTCATTTATCCTAATTTAAATTTTCTCCACCTCCTAGCAGTTGCAGCAGTTCTCATAAACATGTTTGTCAGCTAAGATTTCTCTTAAAAGTTGCCCAAGAGCATATTACATGAACATTTCTTGTTTAAAGGGATGCTTCTGAATAAACTCATTGAAAGTTATTTGTACATATGGCTCAATTTTAAACACAAGCTATTCACGGATCATAACACATTAACATCAAACTGACTTTGAATGTTGATTTGCAAGCTGTTCATGAGTATATAAGAATAAAGCAAAGCTGCTCAGGCCTATTCCATATCAAGTCAAAGCAGATACCACACAGATCAAAAAATATATGTATTCATGTTCACCTTCATTGTCCTTCAGAGTGAAGTTTGGGTTTATAGACAGATGCCCATCAAGAAAGAAGTTAAACCTTTGTCCATTGGCAAAATCATCCTTATCAGTGGCACTGATGGTATGAATAATCTAAAGAAAAGACGAAATTAAATAGTAAATTTAATTTGGCTTCTTCCCTTGATTTTAATATTATAACAGTTTCAATATCCAACCTGAGTGTTTTCAAATTCTTATTCTAGTAAAGGTATCAGCTAATTTGCTCTCCCTTGCATTAGACTTTAAGAAATGTATTAAGGCACACCATATAATCATTCACACTTTATTTTCTAACATGGAACAAACATTTTTTTTTTCCTTTATTACCCACAGTACCTTGGGGCCAATTAGTTGTAAGTTTTTGTGTGAACGTCTGTTTAGGGAGACGTGAAATATGGTTTGTACAAATACCAATATTCCAGTGTTGATGTAGAACAGCCTTTCTGTATATGTTGGTCTCAGTCAACAAATGAAAAAGCACTAGAGTCATAATTTTTTGTTTTAGGAGACCTTTGAGATCATGATCCAACCCCTGTATTTTAGAGACGAGGACTCTGAGTCCCAAAAGGAGTGTGATGTGCCTCAAATCTGTAAAAATCTGGCAGAGGTAAAACTAGACCACCCAGAGCTTTAGGAAATTTTTTAATCCCTAGTGGTTGAGAGAAAGCAATATCCAAATTTGGACTTTATGCACATTAAGAAACAGAGAAAGTTAGAATATATTAAAAAATATCCCAGGTAGCCTAAGAGCAACATACACATTCTGATCGTTAGAGTCATTACAATCTTTAAAAGTAATATTGAAACAAACAAGCAAGATGATATTTTACTTTTGAAAAAAAATTAGTATCCTAATGCTCAAGCGTACTATTTCTAGTTTTTCCTTAGAGAAATTGAAAACAGAAAGTAGAGCCAGAAAATAGTATTTCCTGCATATGAAATATAGTACATGCATTTCAAAAATTGATATGATTTCTAAGAACATTTTACTCAGTTTCACCGTATTTCAATATTTTACAGATGAGATAATCCACCAAAATGCATCATAGTTAAAACCTAAATTCCTCTCCAGGTACTGAGACTGTTAGCTTGTGAGGGAGAGGAGGAGGAATATAAAGGTACTGAGAATGAGTAGTCAGGGAGAGTAGGAGCAGAAGAGCATGTGTTTTCATGAAGTGAAAGTGAAGAAAGAGCTTCAGGGTATAAAAGTGATCAATTTCCTCCATATATGCCCATGGCTCATTCCTTATGCCCTTTCCCATCACCATTCAGAATTTACTTTCTCAGCAGGAGATCATGGTGAAAGCTCCTCCCACTACATATTCCAAGAAGTTTCTATCATTCTTCTCTTCATTATTTCCCTCCACATTTTTTATCTATGAACTGAAAATTTACGTAGCTGCTGATTATTTTTTCATTGAAAGCACAACTAGTATCTAGACAGATCTTTTTTTTTCTTGTTATTGTCTTTTGACTATAAATAGAATAAACTGATGGATAATCAGAAACAATCTTTATGATTTTTCTCAAGCACAGGAAAAGCTCCATAGCATTTAGAGTGTGCAAAATCTGAAGAACACAACTACATTTTCTACACGTTAGTTACTTAGTATCAAATTGAAATAAAATATCAAATTTTCAAGGTTGTTTTCAGGGTTAGATAAAACAAATACTGTCAGCCCTCCATGTCCGTGGTTCTGAATCTGTGGATTCAACCACTATGGGCCAAAAATATTTTTTAAAATTCCAGAAAGTTCCAAAAAGTAAAACTTGATGCCATGCTGTGGCAACTATTTAGATGGCATTTACATTGTATTTGCAACAATTTACATAGTATTCACATTGTATTAGGTATTATAAGATATTATAAAAGATGATTTAAAGTATATGGGAGGATGTGTGTAGGTTATATGCAAACACTACACCATTTGATATAAGGAATTTGAGCACTTGTGGATTCTGTTATCCTGAGGGGGTTGGGGTCCTGGAACCAATTCCCCACAGATTCTGAGGGACAGCTGTATAAATTTTTCTTTGGGAAAATAAATGTCTTCTCACTCTTATTCTTCATTCATTGTGATTCTCCAATTTACAATCCTATTTCCTCAATGATACCTCATAACATACTGACACATTTGCAAGTTCACTTCTTATCCTAGAATGTAACTCTGGAGGGGATTGGTAAAGAACAATTAATTTAAATAAACTGAGCTATAATTGTTTTCTGTTATCAATGTTTTGGAACAATTTTCTTTTCTTCTCATTTCAAAGTTAATTTATCACTTATTTTAAATTTTCTTAAAATTTTACAAACATGAGCCTATTCAATTTGTTAAACACTGATATAATTCATATTATATTATGTTTACTATTTTTTTGTTATCTCTAAATTATAAATATCCCTTCCATTTTTATACAGGTAATTTCAAATCTCAATTTACCAGGAAGCTCACTTATGGCAATTTTTTTCTTCCTCAGAAAGGGTTCTCAGTCTCATCTACATAGTAAATGATAAGTTGGTTACCACATTTGGTTTAAGAGTGAATGATTCATCTTGAACTTTTGTAGAGGTGTTGGACATGCCTCTGTACTTAAATATTTTTCCATAATATTTCTGAGAGATGATTCTAAAAACCTAGTATGTTGGTCTTTTTTTTTTTTAATTTAGAACTCCTAGATATTCTCTTGTTGAGAGAAGGTATATTCAATTTCTTTTTTGGTTGTTTTACTAATCACCTTTTCTCTTTCATTAGGAAATGGGATTTCCATTTGCTTCCTCAGACTTTTAATAGAAAACATACCTAAGAAGTTAACATGTTTATGATTTTCAGAAGATTTAAACTTCTGGCAGATATCAGATAATTGCCATGTTTCCATTCATCAATATTTTCTACCATTTTTCAGACTTATTGATTTATCTACACTGTGCTACCTGTGCTTTCTGTGCAGCTAGTTGGTGATGTATGATCCATAAAAAAAAAATTTTCTGATTCTCTTTCCTTCTAACTGGACTCAAATGTTTTCTATCACTTACACATTATGCAATAAGTACATAAAGTATTTGATTATTTTGAAAGATCTGAGATTTACTCTAAAAAAGGGAGAGAAAACTCAAATTGATTGATGGTATTTACAAATAATTACTAGCAGAATTTTTTGATAATGCCCATGAATAAGGATTAACTTTTGGTAGAAAATAATTAAAACCAATTTTATATTCTTTTTATTAAATAAATGTATCCCCTTGTTTAAATGTGTTTAAAACATATTTAAAATCTATCACTTCTAGAGTACTTTAATTAGGAAAAATTGTGTCAGAAATTTATACAAATAACTAGTCTTCTATTTGGTAAATGAGCTAACCCTAACTAAAGCAAATTAAAAAGGAAATTCTATGGAACACATTGCATCTTCTTTTAATTAATAGAGTTTACCTTATAATATGATCTCAAATGATCATTTCATTTGATAATAATACCAACTTTTATTATTTAGCTGAGGTTTATCTTTGATAAGATGTAAAATCTCTACTGATCTAGTTAACTTTTTTTCATACAAAATTGTACTGTTAATAATATCAGTAATACCATGGATATCATGGGGGCAGAGGCTGGTGTTATGTAATAAAATGTTTTCTTTTATATGTTATGCTTTCTAAGTTTACTTCTAAAAAGAAAAAAATACAGACGGAAAGGTCAATACGAATAAGACAGAAAGCATTCCCTTTGTTATTTCTCAAAGTTTCTAGGTACAGGCACATCTCAACTATTTTGAATTCACTCTTCTTTGGGAACTGATTTCAAATTTCATGCATGCATGATTTCCTTTTTAGTATTTTTTTATGCAAGATACTTAAAATTTTTTTCAGAACAGGAAAATATATTAACTCAGAGAAATATACTGTTGAAGTTTATATTGATACCTGAATCGACCTGAACTCTGCTCTTACATGTGGTTTGAACCTCTGCTTTCAGAAAAGACCAGTCTCTGCTGTAGCCACATGCTGTTACATTTAAATGCACAACATCCATAACAGAAGTGTCTGTAATTCTAAAAGCAATTGTCATAGAAAGAGGAACTGTGGCAATACAAATACGCTTCAGAAAAGCTATTTCACAAATCATTATTTAAATAATTTCCTATTCCAACTCTGCATCAAAATATACAGTTTCTCCAGAAATGCTACATCCATAAGAGTAAATGAACCAAAGACCTCAAAATTAAATAATAGAAAGATTCAGACAATTTTCCACTCTAATGGGTTAATCATACAATTGACTACATGAATGGGTAATGATTTGTTTAAATGCAGGTGTAATAAGCAATACTTTTAAAATGATGTTTTTATTCCCTCAATGGAAAGTCTAAATTCATTTTGGTGAAAGAGTTGGAAACAAAAGCTCAGATAACATAAAGAATCCAGTTTTCTTACAGTGACATCTAAAATCATGCAATACTAAAGACAGCAATGATGCTAAATGTGAATATAGTTTACAAAGAATAAGAAGTAATCACATAACAAAATATATTAGAACTTTGGGGGGCTAGGTCTAGCAATTATGTCTTGAAAATAGTAACAGTTATATGAAAAAATGATAAATACTATATAAATGGTTAATGGGACTCACAAAAGAAACAGTTTGTCACAGATTTAGCCCTCTCTAAAAAATGGAATAACTTTTCACCTGAGGAGAACAGGACAACCCACACTTAAAGGAATTTAAGACTTATCTAGTCATATACTCATAGAATCTCAGGCTTGGAAGGGCCCTAAAATTCTGACAATTTTCTTCACTTTAGAGATTAAGAGAGCACTTGTCAACATCACATTAAGTTACTTCTTAGGAAGGCTACAGAGTTTAGGTGGTCAGTGTGGAGGGTAAAACAGAGGGACCCAGGCTAACAATGTGACATTAAGAGAGCGTGGCCAGTGAGAATGTCTGAATGGACTTCCTCATGAGCAAAAAGTGGACAAAACGCGAGATCAATGGAAAAAGTCAAGGTCACATGCCAATATGAAGAGAGTTAAAGCCAGAAAACTGAGACTAGCATTTTCGATTACAGAGAAGATGTTTACATCCACAGGGGAAGGATCACCTGATCCAAGAGCAAGGGTTGAGTATCATCTGCTCAGAAATTCAGTAATTTCACCTATACCTACAAAACTGGTACGTGTGAGCTGCTCATAATACAAGATCACATTTTATCCTTGAAGTAAAAATTATTAATTAATTAATTAGTTGATTAAAACAAAATTTTAGAAGAAATAATCTAAAAGGAAAACATCTAAAAAAAGCTGATGATTTTTGATACTTTATGTCACATTTCAAATGATCTAAGTTTAAATTCTCTGAATAACCTAGGAACCAAAGAAACAAAGATCCAGTGAGGGAAATGTCCTAAGTTTACTAAAAAATGTTATTTATAGATTAGGTGATTGATACCTAAGAAAAGCAATACTTATTTCTAGATATTTTATTTTCTTAAAGTGATATTAAATGGTATAGTGTTTTAAGTTTCATTTTCTAATTGTTTCTAATATAAAGAAAAGGAAGAAATACATTTATATTGACCTTATATTTAGCACAAGTTTGAACTTTTGCTCAATTTTATTCACAAGTTCAACTACTGTATAGTAGTATTACCACTATTATTAGTATTAGTATTAGTATTATTAATGAATGTTTAACTTTATCAAAACCTTTGGCTTCACCTATGAAAATGAATTTTGATTTTTCTCCTTTTCATTTTAAAGTAATTATTTTTTCTGGATTTGCTTTGACAATATTTTATTTATGATATTTCTATGTTCATGAAAGAGAATATCTATAATTCAAATTATATCCTTCTCAGGTTTTGATTTCAAAGTTTGTTGTCAGCATAAAATGAGTAAAAAACTGATTGCCCTTTTTTCCTTTTTGATACAGTATATTTTGATTATCATTCCATTTAACTATTTTCAATTTTTATTACTTTATTGGCTCATTGCTTATTTAGAAGTGTCTTTCTTCATTTCTGATGGAGTTTATCTAGCAATATTTTTGAATTAGTATCTTGCATTATTTATTGCAATAAAAATGAGGCCAATTCTCTGAAAATTATTCAAACTTGCCTTGTGGTTCTGAACATGGTAAATTTTGGTCAATGTTTTGTGTAAGTTTTGAAAGAATGCATAATCTAAGGTTGTTCAATGCAATGTTCTATATTTGTTAAACAGTAAAGTTTCTTAATTGTGATATTCAATTTTCAGTTTCCTTAATAAAATTTTATGTGGTTATTCTATCAGTTTCTGACAAAAGCATACTAAAACTCTCAGCACAATAATCTCAGTAGACATTTCTTAAATATTTTGGTGATTTTATTTTAACATAAATATTGATATATACTTCTTTAAGTTTACATTATATTTGTCTGCTTTATATTTTTCTACTTGTTCCATATTTATTATCTTATTCCTTGGTTTTTAAAAAAATTACCATGACTTCTACCTAGCTATTATAAATTTGTGTACTAAGGCTTTCTCTTTTATTTTACCTATCTTGTGTTATAAAACAAAACTATATCTCAAGAACAAATATGAAAATTTTTCATTCTAACTTTGAATTCTAAAAACTTCACAGAAATTCACAGAGTTATTTTGGAAATATTAAATTGGTTATATACTTCATATTTTATTAAGTTTAGATTTTAGTTTTTAAATATGCCCTTCTAAAATCCTTGAAAATAGGTCCTATATAAAAAAGATTATTTCCCTTTATCTTTGTATCATAAAATATAAAAAAGCAAGATAAGATCACATGCAACAATTCTGTAAATGTGTGAACTATTTAATTGAATGAACATTTTAATAAACATAATAAAGGTCAAGAAATAAAACTGTCAACATCACTTTATTTAGGAGCATTTTAAATTCCAATTTTTGTTATCTTGTTAGTTACATAGTCTTTTACTATTTTATTACTTAAACTAAAATTTACTGAATTCATTCTTGACACATAAAATCTATTATAAATTAGTAGTTTCTCAATTACCCCAAATTTAAGGAGTTTAGAATATTTTAACTTTGTCTCCTTCCTTCTGATACCTTGTTCCATTATACTATGTATATTTTAAACCCCAGAAAATGTTCCTTTGTTTTCTATTCACTCATTAATAATTTATTGTTAACAATATATTTACTGATTGCTTTGGTCTTTAAGGATTCTTGCCACTCCAAGATGCCAATTTGATCATTTTCCTTTTTCTTTTTCTAAAAAAAGCTTTAACGTGTGTATTGGCAAGGAATTGTCACTTTTTTTTTGTTGTTGTTTGTTTTTGCCTAAATACAAGTTTTTCTTGTCTTTATTTTTAAGGACTATTTTTGGTACACAAAAGAATTCATGGTTGTTAGATAGTATCTCTGGCTCTTGGATTTATCTTTCCTTTTTTCTTTTTTTTTTTTTAAATCTTTCATTCTTCTGATTAAATAATCAGCTTTTGAAATTGTTGTTTTAAATGTTTTGAGTATTACTTTTTATAGTCTACATACTAATCCTTTATTGGATAAATGGTGTGCAAGTATCTTTTCCCACTATGTGGTTTTTCTTCTTATCATCTTAACAGGGTCTTTCAGAAAGCAAAAATGTTTAGTTTTGATCAAGTCCAATTTATCAATTTTTTTATTTTATGGATTATGCTTTTGGTGTCATCCAAGAACTCTTTGCCTGGCACTACATCCGTTTTATCCCCTAACAGTATTATGTCTTTTTTCTCTAGATGTTTTAAATTTTAAACTTAATTTTATTTCTGAAATTTTATTTCAATTCATCTAGGTAAAGTTATTTTTGTAAACAGTTGTTTAGATTTTTGTTTTTGTTTTTCTCTATGCTTCTTGAATTTTTGACTTGTTGCTTGCCAACAGTATGGAAAAAATTTCAGTCATGAGCTCCTCAAATATTACTTCTGCCCAATTCTTTTAATATCCCTCTGAGAATTGGATAACTTGTGTATTAGACCTGCATGTTCCATATGTTTCATATTCTTATTAGTGTTTTCTATCTTCTTGCCTTTCCATGCTTTAACATGAATATTTAATCTAACCTACTTTCCAGTTCACTATTTTCTCTTCAGCTATGTTTAATCTGATGTTATTACCAAAATTGAAATCCTATATTAAGTGGCTGTATTTTTAAAATCTAAATTTTCTATTTGCATGTTTAACATTTTTCTCAATTGTACTTGTATAATATATGTTAAAATAATTCTAGGATGTGTGCATCCATTTCTAACACAATTGAAGTATGATTTGGTAAGTAAATCATTATATATCTGTACAATAAAATACTGTTTTTGAAATGGTGATATGGAAAAAATATTTAAGCACTGGAAGTGATAATCTTAATACATTGTTAAGAGTAAACAAGATAACTTGTAAATACTTTAAAATATAATTTTCAGTCATTTTGTCCTCATTCATATTTTCTAATTTTCTTGTGAGAAATGAACATGAGAAAATTTCATGTTTTTACATAAAGTGCCCTCCATATATATATATATATATATGTATATGTAAATACCTCCCCTGGAAATATTAAAAACATATAATCAATGATAATTTTAGCAAGCCATAGTTGATTGTCCCTCATACACAAATACACCAGGCAATGTTTCTCAGGACTATAATTTTGTCACAAGTTTCAAAATGATTTAAAATAATTTTGGATGATATATTTAATCTGGTCATTATATGAGACTGTCAGACTCACCAGAGGGACTCTCTTTACTTGTTTGATGAAGTAAGTGGCCATGTTGGGGAACCCATATCACACACACACACACACACACACACACACACAAACTCTGGGTGGCATTTCAGAACTCTGGGGAACACTGAAGAGCCAAGGAACATCCTGAAGCTCTCAGGTCTGCAGCTGAAAGTAACTGAATGCTACCAACAACCACGTGAGCTCGGAAGAGATCCCCAAGCCTCAGGTAAGAACTCAGCTTGATTACGTCTTATGAGCCTCCTGCAAAGACCTAGCTAAGCCATGAGCAGAATTCTGATCTGCAGAAACTATGAGATGATAAATATGTGTTGTTTTAAGCTGCTAAGTTTGTGTAATTTGTTACACAGCAGAGAAGACAGATGCACATTCCCTTCCCGTGTCCCACTTGCTTTATGGGCATCAAAACACTGGCCTCCCTTTGGAATTGTCATGCTCCTTTAACTGGCTGCCATGTTACATCCAGATTTATGTCTTATGTTCAAGCTCTTCTCTCCATCCTTCCCTCTCCCCACCTCCACCAATCATTCCCACTCTTCATGTTAAAACCTAACATCTTCTAGTATCAATATCACTCAATGGCCACTGTATGTGACTGTATGTGACTCCCTCATTCCCTCCAAAATATGTAGACCAGGCCAGTCTCTCCTCCCCACTTTAGTCTCTAAGCTTCATTAGGATAGGAAGAGTTCACTGTTTCCTCCTCATTTAATACAGGGCTGTACCAAAATCATTCAATATCATTTTATTGGTATAATAAATGTATACATGAATGAGTTCATTTGTTGAATTACATTTGGGATCTGGAGAAAATGTATTTTCTATGAGTCTCAACAAATCTATTTGGTACTTAAAATAAAGCTTTATAAAATTATTTTTACTAAGAACAAAAATAACACTGGGGGATCTTTGAGGATTATACCTAAGAATAATAGAAATAGAGCTGCTTATTTTTCTTCCATTCAAATGCTAGGAAGGAAAAAAATTAACTTACCTGGCCAGGCTTAGAATTTTCACAGACAACAATATCATATTCCCTGGCAAGTTCGGGTGGATTGTCATTGACATCCAGAACTTTAATAACCACTGTGACATGGCTCAGCAAACTCGGATTGTCTGCAAAACACATAGGGATGCATTTAGTATCTCCATGCACACTTTAGAGGCTTGGTTTAAAACCAATCTCCTTAATACTGTAGCTTGTCACTAGCCCCATATGCTGCAGCAGGACTTTTGGCAAAAGACAACTTTATGATGACATTCTTTGTTAGAACTCATTAACTTACAGAAAAATGAAAAATGAACACCAAGGCATGACATGAGTGCTAAAATGATATTTTGTCATATCAAGGAAATTACATGTTATTCAGGAGCTGAAATGGGAGAAAGTTGTCAGAATTCATTGTATGCTGTCAGACTCTAAGGGATGAACACCTGGTTTCATCATTAATCTAAGAAAAATAGTGTAGTTGGAAAAAAAAATTACATAATCTTTAAAAGATTCAAGGTTTCCAGTCTAAATCAACTTGGAGAAAATAGAAAGTAAAGTTCTTTATACCAGGGTAAAATTTTTCTTACAGGAGAATATATGCAGTTTGTGGTGTCAAGTCATACTTGGGGAAAAATAAAGAATAATTTAAATTAGAACTTAGCATGGAATTCATATATAACTCTGGTAAACATCAAAATATTACAGTTAATATTTTAAAATACTTCTTGAGTGCAGTCTTCTCATATTTCAGTAAGTTTATTAGTTCTGAGATGTAAGAAAAGATAAATGTTTGGTTTATATTATGCATCAAAGCTAAAACGGAAGAATTCATAATGGAAAAATTAATGAGAAGGCAAAAACTAAACACATTAGGAAAAAGAGAATATATATATACACAGAGAAGATATTAAAGATAATGGATTTTTAAATTATCCATTTTTAATTATCCATTAAGAATATGGATGGATTAGACATGCCATAGGTACTTTTAAAAGAAGTAGAATATCAGAGTAGTACTACAATAACTAAAGAAACTCAATTTTTAGGTAAAAAATCAGGCCTAGATAATTTTATCTACAGTTAAACATACAGGTAACTTCAGTCTTATACATCTTTTCCCCAGAAGACAGAGTAAGGAGGAAATACTCTACAACTTGTTTTTTTGTGGCCAGTAAAACTTTAATATCAATACCATATGCTCCCACTCATGAGAGATATTAGCTGTCATTGGACTAAACAAAATAATACCAAACCCACTCTACTGGAATGGAAATGAAAGTCTGTCATCAGTTTAGTTCTAGGAATGCTTGCATAGTTTGGCATTAAACCAAGGAAAGAAAGAAGGGAGGGAGGGAGGGAGGAAGGAAGGAAGGAAAGTGGGAGGGAGAGAAGAAATGAAGAAGGGAATTTTAAAAAGCATAAAAGTTATCCAAAACGTTAATGAATTAAAAGAGGGACAAAAAAATACATAGATGCTTATCTTAATACACATAGAAAAAAACAAAAAAATAAAATTTAATGTCCATACATTCTAAACAAAACAAAGCAAAATCAAAAAAGAAAACTCTTAGCAATCTAGGAACAGAATGTATCCTCTCAAGCTGATTAAGGATACATTCAACAAACAACAACAAAAAGTACAACAAACATTATTCTTAATGGTCAAAAACTAACAAGAGTTAATAAACAAAGCTATAAGGATCCTTGAAATAAATCTAACAAAGTATTTGAAAGACATATGCAAAACATTTTATTGAATGTCATTAAAGTAGATCTAAAGTAATTAATAGGTATAGTGCCTATGTGGTTGGAAGACAAAATATCATAAATAAAGCCAGCTTCTCCAAATTGATGTGCATTTTTGATGTAATCTAATAGACATCCAATGAGAAATGAAAGCTGATTCTAAGATTTATAAGCATTAAGATTGTCCAGACTTGAATGAAGTACAATAAAGGATAATTGCTTTACCATTTATCAAGCTTTATTATTTGGTATTAGAACCTAGGTCACTTTGACAGTGTCAAAGGGATAGACAAACAGAAACAGAAAACAGAACACAGCCACAGATCTACTATATATAGAAATTTAATATATGGTAATGATGCTATTGCAGATCAATGGGGAAAGTACAGATTGATCAAGAAATAGTTTTAGTAAAGCTTGTAACCACGTCATTATCATTATAAAATGGGTCATAACTACACTATACACAAAAATACACTTTAAATAATTAAGGACTTAAATGTATAAGGCAAAAACTATACATACTTTAGAAAAATATTAGCATGTAGTATATTAAAGCTCATGAAAGATTTCAAAATATAAAATGCACTAATCATAAAGGAAGCATTGATAAATTTGATTACAGTGAAATGTGACTTTTTTCATTTCCTCCAAATATGCCACGAAGACGACAAAATGTCACAAAATGAGTGAAAATATTTGCAGCACACACAACTGACAAAGGATCTGTATCTCTAATATATAATGCAATGTATTGAATCAATAAGAAAAAGAGATAGCTCAATATAAAAATGGGTACAACGAAGGACAAACATTTAACAGAAGAAGTAATATAAATGGCAAATAAACGTGAAAAAGTTTTCAACATCAATAGTATTTAAAGAAATACAGCTTAACCAAAATAAGTTATCATTTAATTGCAACAATATTGACACAATATCAAGAAGTTTGACAAGATTCTCCAAGTGCTGGATTGGATATAGACCAATGGGAATGACTGCAAATTAAAGTAAACCACATGTAATAATTCATACTGCTGTATACTCTCACAACCAAGATCCAGCCATTTGCTTGGATCATATCCAAAGGAAAATCTCTTGAAAACATACACCACCAGCACAATTAATAGGAACAACAACAGGAAATTACAAATGTCCAACAACGGCTGAATAGATGCAATATGTGATTATTTATATCATAGAGAAAATAAATGAATAGCAACATAGCTACAACATTAGGGACAATCTTAGAAACAAAACGTTGATTGAAATATTTTTTCAGAAATGTCTCAGAAGCTTGCATTCAAATATGGTAGAATTTTGCAAAGCTGAAAAAGAACCACACAAAACTAAATAACTGATTGCAGAATGAAATAGTATATTGTTGAGGATATGTTCCTAACAACACTAATTTTTAAGTACAGTGATATGTTAAAATTTATTTATTAATATGTTTTGCAATATCTTCTTTGTAAGTGTTGAGTACTACATTAAATATACAGAAAAAAGTTACAAAAACATCTTAAAATTAATATATTGTGTAGATTGCTTAATATATAATAGCTAATAGAATTGGCATTAATGAATTTTTGTCACTATAAAGTGAAAGATAATGAGATGCTTGTGTATTATATTAGATAATTAATATAATATTTTATATTATAAAGATAAATAGATCCATGAAATTAAAATTAGTAAAATGCTAATTTAAATATTTGCTTATTTAGAGTTACTTATTATGAAAAAGCATTGCTAAGCTTTTCTAGAAGCTAATACTTGATCTTTTTATAATTTTAAAACTGAAAGAGAATATTCAGCCTGAAATCTCATTTAGTAAATTACAAAATTGAAATTGACACTGTTTAAATGACATATCTTGGCAAAGCCAAGGTTATGATTTACTTCTCAGGCCTTACTACTGCCACTATATAAATATATATTTTCTATTGTAACCATTGTTAGTGTAGTCCTATATTTCTCAACCAGGTATTTGCTTACATTTAAGAGCAGACAAAAGCAATCTGTTCCAGAAATCTGAGGCAAGAATAATATTATTAATTTTAATCATTGGTATCAGCAGCCTTAAAATGAGTAAATAGTTCTATGCTCCTTTTCTGAACAGGAAAGGTTAGAACCAACCTTGGCGTATCAGAAAACTGTTTTGTAAGAGAGGATTCTTGAAAGACTGTATCTTGAGGAAGGACTAGAATAAAAAAGCACCTAAGCATTTGACTGTTTTCAAGCATCACCTTCTCACTGCCCCACCTCTGCATTCCTCACTCTGGAATTGGCATAGCCTGACTGCATTCCGTACTTGGGTACAGGAAACTAAATCCTTCTGAATGGAAACAGACTCTCATGTTGCTCCAATGTTATTGTATATCTCTAGTGTACAATTACTATTCCATCACTTAAGGATTAAAAGTACAGGGCTGGGATCAGACAGATATTGATTTGTCTGTAGGCTTACTACCATTTTGTGTTCTTTGGGGAAGTTAAACTGAATCTAACCTTACTGTAGATGCAGCTAATGATCTGTAGGACATGTAGGGGAACCTCAGGAGATACGGATAAAGAGTTATGAAAAACAGAATGTCAGAGTAAGCTTAACATCATTACTGATGCAAATTGAATAATTGCTGTCTATTTCCTAAAAGTAGGATGGTGTATAAAACCTGTAGCTTTAAATTCCAGATAATTAGAGCTGAAAACCCACTATAGTTTTGCAACCACTTGTGGCCTACCTACACTCATTCTAGTATTTTCCGCTCAATAATGAAATTAGCTAAATCTATATTAGTAAATTGGCAAGTTCCTTTGGGTTTTTATTTCTTATTTCCCACAGTCCTAGGGTTAATAGTCTACCCTTTGAATGTCAAACACTTTACCTATAAATGTGAACATATTCATGTGTGTGAGAAGCACTTTGCTAAGGCAAAAATTGGATAATGTCGCTGGAGTTCTTAATGCAACATTTCTATTATTGCTACTATTATTTTTAGGTCCATGCTTCATTTCTAAAAATCAGTTTTCAGTCCTCTTGATGGCAGAGTAAATAAAATACACCATATTCAGACAAACGTCAGTAGGAGGCCCTTTCCAGAACTCTTAAGAAACATGAACTTTGGAAAGTTGTTATTTCTATACCTTAATTATTTAATCTGTAAACAGGAATAAGAATCATGTAATGTGCCAAACTGTGTTTTTGAGAAACAATTTAGGAAGCTATGTAAACTTTAAAACACTGAGACTGGGAGAGAGCAGAACACCAATTTTAATCCTTTCTGAAAATGAAGGACAAAACAGAATCAAGAACAAAATAGATGGCACACTGACAATCTTATACATGTGATTTTTGGCACAAACTATCCTGTACTATG